TGTGTGTGTGTGTGTATATATACACACACACACACATATATATATATACATACATACATACATACATACATATATATAATGTTTTATATTTCAATAAAATTATTTAAAAACGGAAAAAAGTGGTAGTTGAAGAATTGACATAATCTAAAGTATTATTTGGTGTGTGTGTAATGAAATCAAATGAATTGCCTGAGAGGGACAGAGTCTACTGCCTACATTTCACCAAGTCCTTTTAGTTGGGAATATTCAGTGGTGGGATTCAGCTGGTTTGCACCTATTCAGAAAAACCATTTGTTAACTTTCTGAGCTGTTCGGAGAACCGGTTGTTAGAACAAATCTTCCAAAAGCCTCAACCTACCCCCCCACACTTTACAGAGCTACTTTACAGGCAGGAAGAAACATTCTGGTGTTGTTTCTAGCCTAATCCTTATCTTTATTGCCCTGCTTACAGAAATTGCCTTATTACATTGTAACAGCTAATGGTTCTTAGCAGTATGCCCAGACTTTCTCTGGATGTTTTTATTTCCTTTGCTGGTATTAGGGGCTTGACTTTCTTAAATGGGAAGAGTTGTTTTAAGCTTTTTACGCTGCTTTAATGGTTCCTGGCACTGTCCTTTTGGGTGTACGTCCAAGAGGAAGGATGCAATGGTCATAATTGAAAAATGGTCATGTCACTTTTTCAGTGTCATTGTAACTTTACAATGAAGGAACATTGCAATGAAGCAATAAAGGAACATTGCTATCATGTCACCCTTAGACCTTCTTTTCATCAAACTAGACATACCCAATTCCTGAAACCAGTGACATGCTGTGAGGTTTATGGCTGGTGAGGCAAGCGGGCAAAAGCTGCCCTGCCGCCCCGGCGCTATGTCCAACATAAAGGTGGGATGCCTCTATGTTGGACATAGCAGCAGGGTGGCTTTTGCCTCTAGTCCAGGGGCAGCAGGGCGGCTTTTGCCTGCTTTCAAGAAAGCTTTCTTGAAAGCAGACAAAAGCTACCCTACTGCCCTGGAGCTATGTCCGACATGGAGGTGGGACGCCTCTATGTCGGACATAGAAAGCTTTCTTGAAGAAAGCTTTCTTGAAAGCGGGCAAAAGCCACCCTGCCGCGTCCAAAAGCCTTGCCGCTATGTCCAAAAGCCCTGCCGCTATGTCCGACATAAAAAAGTGCCAGCCCATGAGCCAGCAGAGACGAGTAAAACACACACACAAATTACTTACAATAATACAATTACTTACAAATTACATTAATTTTGAATTCCTCCCCCTCCCTCCAACCCACATACCTTTTGGAGCTGTTTCACAGAGGATTTCAACTCTCCTCTTGTCTGCCATGATGAAAATGTAAAAATGGAAAATGGAAAAAGGCAAGAGCTGCTGAGGTCAGGCTGGGTTAGCTGCTGCCAGAGTCCCCAATGGTTGACTCTGCTTAACTGTTTAAAAAAGCCTCTAAAAAAACACACTCCACAGGAGGAGGCCAGAGAACCAAGTGCTTCATCTACATAAGGAATTTTTTTGGCTTTTAACCCTTGCTTAACTCTGCTTGAGTGATCATAAAGATAGACTAAATGAGGCCCACCTCCTCCTGCAGAGGGCACTTTTTTAGAGGCTTTTTAAAACTGTTAAGCACTAAGCAGAGTCACTCACTGTGTCTCTGGCAGTAACTACTTCAGCCTTTTTCCTTTTACATTTTCTTTTCTTTTCATGATGACCGTGGTGAGGCCCTGCCTCCCCTACCTCCCCTGACTGCACGTCATTGGACATTAGTCAAGCAAAATCCAAGAAGAATGCAATGTCAAACTGTTTCTGAATTAAAGGTGAAAATGAAATGAATGAAGTGTCCCTAGGAAATTAATTCAATTCAACAAATGAATATTTATGTGGGTGAGAGGGAAAGAGGGAGAAGGAGGGAGAGGGAGAGAGGGAATGAGGGAGAGAGAGTTCTGTAAGCATTTGTAAACAATTTTCTATGGAATAGACTTTTAAGTGGAGACATATGTAGCCTTTCATACAAACTCTCCTTAAGACATGAGTAAATGCTGAAGGTGCACGGAACATTGTTACCTTCCCACCAAAGGTGGTTCCTATTTTTCTACTTGCATTTTTACATCCCTCCAACTGCTAGGTTGGCAGAAGCTTGGACAAGTAACCGGAGTTCACTCAATTACATGGCCCTAGGGATTCGAACCACCAAACCGCCGACCTTTCTGATCGACAAGCTCAGTGTCTTAGCCACTGAGCCACCAGGTCCCTTGTACACCTAGATAGTCCTTAGTTAAAATACACAAACCACAAACAAAAGATTTGTGTCTTCTCCAACACCAGAATTCAAAAACAGTGATACCATTAGTTAGCGCATTAAGCAACACCTAATAAATTGCCTAATAGAAACCTTATTTGGAGTATTTGCTTGTTTTTATAAAGCAACTCTTCACAATATTTTAGATGCTGCCCTATGTATGCTCTTGTTCCTCAAGGTATAAATAGTGGGGTTGAGCAGAGGGGTGACCACAACATAGAAGACTGCAATTTGTTTATCATGATCAGGAGATGAAGCTGACTTTGGAATCATATACATACAGATAATCGTCCCATAAAACAAAACGACCACAATCAAATGGGAGCCACAGGTAGAGAAAGCCTTGTGGAGTCCAACGTTTGACTTCATATGTGAGACCGAGTAAAGTATACACCCATAGGTGGTCAGAATGACCGATAGAGGAACCAGAATGCCTAATGCTCCTATAGCTAAATTCACAAGCTTGACTATATGTGTATCACTACATGCAAGTTTCATCACCACTGGCATCTCACATATGAAGTNTTACTACCAGTTCTGGTGAATAGGTGGTAAAAAAACACTTTAAAAAGTGAAATAAAGAAGGTCCAACGATTGCGTGGTTCACAGCTGAATTGCGCGATCATCGGAAGCTTTTTTTTATTTTACTCTCGGTTCGCAGAACCGGGGACAATTGTCCCTACCAGTTCGGCCAAACCAGGCTGAACCGGGAGGATTTCACCCCTGATCTCAGTTAGCGAGGGCGAGACTAGCAAGGACATTTTTGAAGACAGGCAGCCCTTGTGTCAACATTCCAGAAGAACCCAACTCCAATTAAAAACTCCGAGACAGGCATTTTCTCAATGTTCCCTTTCATTAGAGTCGTTATAATGTCACATCTGGGAAAACCCAAACCTGAGAATTCCGGGTTTTCCCTCAGTAAGTCAAAAGTCCAAACCCATCCCCTGCACCCATTGGTCCATCACATCATCCAATCCCCATCCGTCCCCATCACTTCAACCATTCCTCCTCTTCCAAGTGCAAGAACACCATGGCCTTGACTCAAAAGAAGAATGCTATTTTGTCTAACTACATTCCCTCTACTGCATTTCCCAAGCCCAAGAATGTGGCAGCATGGAAGCTTCCGGTGTTAATATGGCATCCAAGGCTGACACCTTGACTTAGAACCACTGTTTAGTTGTCCATTTCAAGTTACAAATGTTTGTGGTCCTAAGGTGAGGACTGCTTGCGTAGAGTTTGAAAGCACATGGATGTTGGGACCATGAAAAATTCAGCAAGGGTTGGATGATTACTGCTTATCTACCTCAGTGTTTTCCACTTTCTCATACCAAAATGGGATTCATGGCATGGGATCAAGATCCTTGAAGAACCCTCCCATCCCAATTAAATTGACCCGTTCCCAACCAGTCAAGCAACGAGGATCCCATTGGTCTTTTGAGGCTCTCCAAACTTGGCAACTTTAAGACTTGTGGACTTCAACTCCCAGAATTCCCCAGCCAGCATGACTGGATCTTGGGAAGGGTCTTCTCAGCTGCTATCCCCACCCTATGGAACATCTTACCCTGTCGACCCTAAAGCTGACCTGGCTGAAGCCATCTCGGAGCCTCAGCACTGCCACACTGGAGCCAGGAGTGGGGAGGGGAGATGAGAGATATCTGGGGTTGTGTAGTCAAAATAAAATTGGGAACCAAGGACATTCTCATACCTGTCTGGAACAAGGAGGAGTAATGTCACCAGACCAGCGGACTCTGCCTTGATTGGGCCATGTAACTGATTGTATGTGGTTGAGAGGGAAAACTTTGAATTAGGTGAAAACTGTGGGAACCTTCAGTTTTCACCAGAGTCGGTTTTCACCAGATCTGTGCCAATATGATATATCCAAAAATGCTGTTCATTGAGGAATTCATCTGCCTCAGAGTTTTGCTTGCTATGGATTTATTACTTGGAACCCTGACATTACTCTCCTAAAGGTGAAACACCCTCCCCCAACGCTTCTGGTTTCTTTACTTTAAAAAAATTAAATAAAGTATTTTTAAAAAAAACAATTAATTTCTGAAGCATGATTTAAAAAAAACTCTACCAACCTGACGTAGTTCTTTTCATTAAAGCAATGGGAAGCCGTGACCAGCCACTTGTTGGATATCAAGGAAGCCCCACAGACATGGCCATCATTCTGGGTATGGAGACTGACCTGCCAGGGCCATTCGCCCGAACTGGAGTCCATTCCACCCACAATCCGGGACTGCTTGCTATATGCCCGGATGCCACAGTCTGAAAGGAACAAAATTCAGACACACACCCAAAAAAGATAGCAGTTAGCAATAGCAGTTAGACTTATATACCGCTTCATAGGGCTTTCAGCCCTCTCTAAGCGGTTTACAGAGTCAGCATATTGCCCCCACAGTCTGGGTCCTCATTTCATCCACCTGTGGTTTTTTTTAAAAAAAA